AGTCGCGCGCGCCTCGGTTCCCGCGGCGTCCTTCCTGGGGTCGGCGCTCGGGGCACTGGCGCCCCTCAGATTTTACCTGCAGCCTGAGGTGAGGGCAGAGCATCCGCTGTCACGTTGGTGGGGAAACGTGGGCGTCACTGACTGGGCGACTGCAAAACAGCCCTTTCCCAGGTCGTCGTTGACATCCGGGTGCGCCTGGGCTCTCAAGCCCCACGGCGGGGGAAGCGGAAGAAGGGGGCGTGGGAGGCTCCCGCGTGTCCCCCCCAGATGTCGGAGAACCTGGGGGGGGCAGAAGGCGCGACGAGGAACGCTTGGCGAGGGTGACAGGCGAGCCGTCCCCGCCTGAGGAGACCCCGCGTTTGCGTGGTCTGTCAGGTCGCTGACGGCTCCCCTGCAAGCTGCAGGTGCTAAAGTATCTATCCACGGCCAGCAACGAACTCAGTCTTTATGGAGCTTCGCTTCGTGCCGGTTACCGTGCCGCGACCAGAGGGTCCCCACCCGCGTCCGAAAGCAGGGCACGCGGCTTCTGCAGTGGTCACCCCCAGAAAAGAGCTCGTAAGTGGTCCCACGACCTTTCCCGGTAGGCGTAGCAGTGCCTGAACCTCCTCCCCAAGCAAAGGCTTTGAAAGCAACATAAACTAGCTTTTTACTTGAGGGCAGTCAGACGAAAGAAAGACGGAAGAACACAATTTTACGTTGGACGTTTGCCTCATCCTCCGGCGCATCTCTTTGAATATCAAAAATTAATTGAGGAGAGAAAAACTGTGGACCAGGTGCCTCTCCCAAATCCATTTTCTGGGGATGCAGCCAGGGACTATGGAGAACATGTATTTTTAGCAAGCATTCTGAGTTCTTCTGCTGAGTGCAAAGTTTCAGAGTGACTAATGGATTGAGACTGAGCATTGTTCTAAAAATGGAGAGGAGAACCCTGGGTGTTTCGATGATGGCACAGGGTGGGTGCGCTTTACTTCCCCTAAAAAGCAGAAAGAGATTTCTGGGCTCTGAGCGCCTCTCCTCTTCTCTGCAACCCAAGGTCCAGGATTTGTGAAGTACAATAGGAGAGCTAATCATTCATGTCTTTCTAGACTAACAGCACTTTAAAAAAAATAGTACACACTGAATTTTATCTTGGGCAAACGGCCTTTATCTTCTGATAAAATTAATAGCTTTATAACTTAGAGGATTTGTCATTTGTCAGATTGTCTGCAATATAGAAAATGATAGATACACTCTAATAGTTCAAATGTGACAGTGGGTTAAATAAATTATGGCAAAAGTGTACCCTGGAGTAGCGTTCAAATGCTGTTACAGTTCAGATAAATAAAGACTGACATAGAAATGCATCCAGGGTTTAGAAGTTAGTGAAACGCAGACTTAGAAACAGTGTGAGCCTATTTGTATACATGTATGTGTAAATTAATCTAGGCATTTTAATTTCCTTTCTTTTGCTTGTTATGGATAGCATCTCTTTATTCTTCTAATGAACAAGTATTGGTTTTGGAATAAAAAAAGTTATGGTAAATTTAAATCAAAAATAGAGTTAGCCAGACCCCCAAGTCTATGAGTCTATGTGGTTCAGGTAGGTAATTCATCATTCTCTTACAACTGTCCTGATGAGCTCTAACCCTTGGCTCAGTTGATCCGAATATTAATGTATGACAATAGCTGAGGGTAAAATACCCATTACTTCTTTCTTTTGCCTTGCAACTAGAGCTTTAACTTTTTTTAAACTTTGAATTATGTGACTCAAGAGGGAGAAATTGCATTCTGTGCTCAGCAGGATGGGACATGTCTGTTTGTTCTCCGTTATTGTCTAACGTCCTCTCAAGCTTTTGTAGCTCATACCACCAGACAGTTATGGCACAGGACCATGTCAGAGGAATTCTGTGGGTTAGAAGTTCAGGCAGGCTCCACTTGGCCCTTTGCTTTGGGGTCTTGGGAGGCTGCAGCAGGTGCCCACCCAGGGGTGAGGTGTCGTGTGCAAGCTCAAAGGGAAGGAGCCGCTTTCAACGTCACCCCTGTTGGCATGATTCAGTCCCTTACAGGCTTTTGGGCTAAAAGTCAGTTATTCACTGGCCATGGCCATAGGCCCCCTTGTTAGGTGGCTGCTCCACCAGAAAAGTGTGTGACAAGATCAGGGGAAGTCCGGGTCATTGATAGAACTCACAGCCTTTGTAATCTAGTCTTGCAGAGACAAGCCACCCTGTTAGTTCTACTCATTAAAAGTGAGCCTTGAGTCTAGCTCTCACTTGAGGGTTGGAGTGAGAACACCAGGGCCAGGAATCCTGGGAGGCCATTCTTTGGGCTGCTTAGGGCAAGGTGAAGCAGAACACAGAGGGGAAGTGAATGCCCTTCATCCTTCCCCTCTGTAGAGACCTCAGGAGCCACCAGTTGTGTCCTTAGGTCTGAGATCCTGTGGGGCAGGTTGGACACCCCTAGAAGGGAGCCACACCTCAAGGTGCCCACACACTTTGGGGCACTCATGCCAGCTGACTGGGTCTCACCAAGTTAGGACTTCTTCCCCTTCCCACAGTGTCTTCATGTATATGGGGAATCGGCATCTCACACCTGCAGGGACCACACCTGAGCTCGGCTTCTTTCCCCTGCTGCACAGCCTTCCCCTTTTTAGATTGCTCACCCCTATTCCCGGTGACACTGTCTTCCCACCTGTTCAGGCTAAAATCTCAGGCCATTTGTCAACCACTGGTATCTAAACCCATCTGGAGGTCCTGCTGGCGTGCTCCTCTGGGCTGTGGATTACCTCTGGTACCGTCTTGAGTTTGGGCGTAATTCCTAACCTGGACTGAGGGACAGTTTCTTTTCTGGTCCCCGGTCCTGACCCTGTCTCCATCTTCTGTGTGTGTCCTCAATGGGAAGCCCAAATGGGCCTGATCAGATGGAATTAAGAGCCCCATCTCTCTCCTGTGACCCCCCATCCATGCAGTGTAAAAGCCTCTTGTCCCCCACTTCACCTCGCTGTCTTACTTCTCCCGTGCCTTTTTCTAGTCCCACCTACCCCTGCCCATCTCTGAAATCCATCCAGGCTGAGGACGGCCTCAGTGGCCTTGGACCCCTGCGCTCTTTCCTCAGCTCCAAGCATTCTTCTCCCACACTCATGGTGCACACTTGCCTCAGGTCCTTAATCAAGGATTCAGGGTGAAGCTTTCCCAGGTCACCCTTCATTATGGCTAGATGTCCCCCCAAAAGCCTTATGTGGTCGTAGGTGGGGAGTTTTGAAGGTGGGTGGATTAGGGAGTGTGAATGTAGATTAAGTGTGTGGTGCTGGGATTAAGAGGATGGATGTGGGTGGCACCAACCGATAGGCTTACAGCCGGGATGGAATATATGGGACGGAAAGAAGGCAGGCCTGCTGCTGTTTGCTGCTTTTCTGTCTCCTGCATGCTATTTCTCTTTCTCCTCTGTGATGCTCGCCTTGGAGCCACCTGACTATGGGCTGAAACCTCCACAAAGTTTGAGCTGACATAAATTTATCTCAGCAATGTGAAAAGTAACCAGGACACCCTTTGAGAATCTGCAGCCTGAACACACTCTCCTCTCCCATTCCTGCTTCCCTAGTGTCTCACACACGCTTTATTTCTTTTTACCTATTTGCTATGTTTCTGGGCAGGTTTCCCATGCTGGTCTCTTTAAGTGCCACGAATACGAAGATCTTTGTTTACGCCCTTCTGCAGCCCCAGGTCTTCAGAACCTGGACTGAAGTAAGACTATTTGTGTAATGAACAGATGAGTAGGGAGTTGATCTCATGGAAGGGAGTAGAAGGGAAACTCTTTGCTGTAGTTGGCCATTTCTGAGGACAAATTGGATGGATCTACTCTGGATTTGGCCGCTCATCTTAATATGATCACATCTCACCTAGAGTGGTCCCTTATGAATTATTAGAAACAATGGAGTTTCCCCCTAATATTTTAATATATATTCAGAGCAATTTCTTACTCTTAAATGCCCATTATTTTTGAGTCTCGGAATCCTGCACCCTTGCTTCCATGCCACCATGCTCTCCTCCTTGGGTGTCCTCTTAGTTTAAAAAGAATTCCTTCAGGATTGTGAGAAGGCAGGAACAGCAACATTAGATGGACCCGGAAGCCCTGTCCCCCTCTTCAGTCTCGCACCATGCTTCCTCTTCTCAGTCTGGATTACAGCTAGTTTGGGTGTCTGAAAATACGAATGTATCAAACATTAGAGAAGAATCTAAGCAGTTTAAAAGGCTGTGCATATGCAGGAAAATTCCTTGGCTTCCGTCACTGTCCTCCTTTCTTGTGGTTGCAGACTTCTCGGGATCCAGGCTCTAACTCTAACTGTGGTTGGACAGATTCCTTGTCTTCCAGCCACCGGGCTGCCTTGGAATTGATCTCTCACCACAGGTCCATAGCCATCCTCCCTCTCCTCTTGCCTTCTTTGTCCTCCTCATGTTTTCTCTCCTTCTTCTTGAGATCCTGGAAAGTGCAGGTGGAAATGAAAGCATTTGCTAGACTAGGAAATTCCTCTATCAACCCAAGCATCTCCTCTAGTTTCCTTTCAGACTTTTCCCCCTTGGAAATAATTTTGCTTTGTATCAAGCAGTTAAACTTTAAATTATATAGAAAACATTAGATTCTTCCCAAGACTTTGAAGCAGAATTATTTTATCCTGAACCAAGTAATATCTAGAAGCTGGAGAAAACGAAAAGAAGCTGCCTCATTCCATTACAAATTTTAACTTCTCTAGGCCATTTCATGGCATGAAGCTTCTTTATGTGCAATAAAGCCTGTTTCACAGGATAATTTTATTGCCTTCTTAGTGTCTTGGTGTAAGTTGTTCAACAGAGACTTATTCATCTTCCATCACTTAGTGAAACAGGAAAACAGGAATAATTATGCTGTTAAAGTAGAAAAAATAGATTTGTTCTTTCGGCAACATCTACTGGGTATTTCCATAATGACTAGTGGTTTAGATCTTGTATGTCTTCCAAGACTCATGTGCTCAGAAGTGAGGCTTTTGGAAGATGATTAGATCATGGGGTGCTACACCCATCAGTGTATTCATCCAATGAGCAGCAGCTGCGTGTGTTGTTAGGAGGTAGGGCCTGTTTAGAGGTGAGTCCCTGGGGTCATGTCCTGGGAACATGTATGTTATGGCTTGTGTCTAGATGTGCCCCCCAAATCTCATGCAGCCACAGGTGGGGCTTTTCAGAGGTGGCTGGATCTAGAGTGTGTGATGCAAGAATTAAGTGGGTGATGCTGGTATTAAGGATGTATGATTACTAAATTAGTCCACTGGTTGGTTTGGCATAGTTGTGGCTGTGAATGATGGGAGGACCCACCAGGGACGTGTGTGCTACACACCTTTAGGGATAGAATATAAGGGACCAAAAGAGGGCTGCTGTCATTACGTGCTGCTTCTTTGATCCTTTGTTGCCTTCTGCCCACCACAAAATGTTTCTCCTCTGCAGTGCATCTCTGCCATGCCACTCTGCCTCAGAGCCAGCAAACTATGAACTGAAAGCTCTACAAACATGAGCTACAATAAACTTTTCCTTCTTTAACTTGGATATTTTGTCTCACAACGAAAATAGTAACTAAGACAGCATGTCTCCCTCCTCAGCTTTCCCCTACTAGGCCCTGTGTCATGCTGTCTCTTCCTCGGAGCAGGCAACCATGGATGGTAACTGAGCCAAAGTAAACCTTTAAAATAGACCCTGAAATTACAGGTGTTGAGTATTATTCCCAGTGACAAGGAAAGTGACTAAGACAACTAAGGTTACTTCAGAACACACACACACACACACACACACACACACACACACACACACTGCTCTCTAATGGGAAATAAATTGCATATAAATTTCCCAGTTAAAAAAAGAAATTGCTATTTTAGCAGAGGTACAGTCAGGTTAAATATTTTCTACCCTTCAACTGTGAAATGTTGAATCTGAATATTAATTTGCATATAACCTACACGTAGACGTGTGACCTCTGTTGGTGCTTGCAAGTTTAAATTTAAAATTGTAGAGGGAACTCCTACAGTGTTGTGGGAATGTAAATTATGGAAAGCAGTATGGCTACACCTCAGATACTTAAAGTAGAACTACCCTGTTGTTATGGTTTATAAATAGATAACCCCCAAAGCCTCCTATTCTCATAGGTGGGGTTTTTTCGAGATAATTGGAAGGGGGCACGATCCTATCACTGCATTAGTCCACTGATGAGTTTATAACTGAATGTGATTTGGGAGTGAAATTTGGAGGAGGTGAGTCACTGGGGCATGTGGCCTGGATGGTGTATCTCCCTCTCTTTTCCCCTGATCTCTCTTGCTCTCTTTCTCTCTCTCTGCTTCCTGCCTGCCAAGATTTGCCTCTGCCATGCAACTCTACCTTGGAGCCAGCTGACTGTGGCCTGAAACCTCTACAAACTGCGAAAGGAAACCTTTCCTTCTTTAAATGGTGGGTGTCAGGTATTGGATCTCAGTGAGGAGAAAGTGACTAACACACATGTAGTCCCGCAATCCGACTATTGGATATATATCCAAAGGAGATAAAATCAGTATGTGGAAAAGACATCTGCACTCCCACCTTAATTGAACCACTAGTCATCGTAGCCAAGACATGGAGTTTAGCTTGAGTGTCTATCAAAAGATAAATGCATAAATAAAAAAAGATACATATCCTTCTAAAAGAAGGACACACTGTTATTGAGGGCAACATGCATGGATGAACCTGGAAGACATTATGTTAAGTAAATCAGGCACGTATTATTATTATTACGTGATCTGGAAACTACAGAAACTAAATTAATAGAAACAGAATGGTGGTTACCAGAGACTGGAAGGGGCAGGGGATTCACTTAAATTCACAAAGGATTCACTTAAATAGCAGGAATGAATTCTGGAGCCTTACTGTATGGCATGAATAATACAGTTAATAGTAAAGTATCATATGCTTAAAAATCTCCAAGAAGAGTAGATTTTAAATGTTATTGACACAAAAAGTAAGCATGGGAGGTGATGGATATATAATTAGCTTGGTTCAGTTATTTCACAATGATTCATGAATCAAAATGTATTGCACATCATAAAACATAAATTTGTCGATTAAAATAAAAAATTGTTCTCACTGTGGAAAAAAATTCAAATAAAGTTAAAATTCTCTTACTTCTGGGCCAGGGATTTAGCTCAGTGGTGTTGCCACCTGCCTCACAAGCACAAGGGCTCGAGTTTGATCCCTGGGACCAAAAAAAAAAATTCTCTTAATTTCATCTCAGAACCGAAGCTGTTCGTGCTTGAGGAATTCAAGGACACAGGAACAGAAATACCTGAGACCAAAGGTATACAAATACTGCCTTTTCAGTTTGCTCCCTCAAAGCCATACCCTCATTAGTGGCACGTGCCAGTATCGGGCTGGGGTTGTCGTGTTTAAGTCTTCTGCTGTAAGCCACACACCTCATCCTCAGCCCTCAGTCACCTATCCATATCCCCACCACACGTTGTAGGATGCTGTTAAATGATTCAGGATCTTGGCCACTCATGCGAATTCAGGGATGACATGTGATCATAGTTCTGCCCCTGCCCTTGGCCTTGGCCTTGGCCTGGGCTTTGCCCTGTCCAGTCATACTCTCCCTCCTACAGCCAGCTTGAAATGACTTTTTGGCTCAGGGAATGAATAGCCCACTCACCAGGGCGAGAAATTGGGGATCATGGTTGTGAGTGTGGTGGGGTAAACGTTGCCGTTCATTTATTCTGAGACACCCCCCTGCCTTCCTTACAATGCCTTATTTGAAAAGTGATCACCTCAAAGCCCTACCTGTTTTTATGGTTTAAGAAATGGCACTTTAATACTCCTTGTGTGTGTGGGGTGGGGGGAGTATTGTTTTCTGAAAAACTTTCTACCATAACAAGCCACCCTTCTAGGGTTATAGTTCTCAATGCTGAACTGTTGCTAGGATGGAGCAAACACAGATAATTTTTGTTACAATATATTCACGACATCTTCCTGCATGTACCCCATAGCTCTTTCCTTTCTGTGAATGATTCCCCTTTGTTGCCCATGGCTGGAGAGGACAGTCTGGCCAGCCCCGCCATTTAGGGAAGTGGCTTCTCCCTACTGCCCCAGGGGCCTGTGGGTACAGGATGCAGGCTGGTATACCAGGTAGGTCCCTGCTGATCTCAGCAAGGGCTGAAGGGAAGGACAACTGCTGGGGCCATTTACATTTCAGGTGAAGACAGTTCGCATCCTGATGCCAAAGGTATAAGAGTCAAGGTAGGTGGCGTACACCTACCCGGTAACCCCAGATGCTCAGGACGCAGAAGTTCAAGGCCAATGAGACTGTTTCACAATAAAAAATGAAAGAAGGGATAGATGTGTAGCTCAGTGACTGAGCATCCCTTGGTTTGATTCCTCTTCCTGGGGTGGGAGGAGATCGCTGTACAGTGGAAGAGAGAGAGAGAGAAAGTCAAAGAATGGCAGAGAGAGAGAGAGAGAGGAGAGAGAGAAAAAAGAACAGGGGAGAGGAGAGGAGAAAAGAGAAGAGGAGACAAGAAAGGGAGGCAGAGTAGGCACATGTACAACATTCCTTGAATTTGCTCTTCCCCAAATTACCGTCTATTATTTCTGCTCCAAAAATAATGTAAAATCACCAGTTCTTTTTCCTCCCATACAGCTTCTTCAAAATGTGTTCCTCAAATGTTACCAGTTGACTTCTGAGACAACCAAAAAATGAAAAAGCTTTAAAATTAATAATTCTTTTCCCCAGTTTTTCTGAACTATGGTGCTGTTTCCTAGTACCTCACTCTAAAAAGATGCTTTTTGGTTGTATTTGGTGGTGGTGGGGATCTGTATTTGTACATGAATTCACACAGAATTAGAGTATAAAATATTGCAGTCTATATAAAAATGACATTAGGGTCAGGGATTTAGCTTAGTGGTGCTGCAGCCTGCCTCACAAGCACAAGGTCCTGAGTTTGAGCCTTGGTTAAAAAAAACCCTCAAATCAAAACCCCCCCAAACACATTAAAAACATTTCTTGCATATTATTATTAATACTTATTATTAATTATTGGTACTCGGCTTGAACTCTGGACCTTGTGCTTGCAAGACAGGTGGTAGAACCACTGAACTAAATCCCCGGCCCTATTTCATGCATATAATATGATTATTCACAAACACCATATGACTCCTTTTGTTAACCCATGCGATACTCATCAGAAATATCTTAAGACCTTTCCCTCAGAGTTGTAGTGGGGAGCTTATCATTTAGCCTGGGTATGGCAGATAAAAATAACAAATAATAGGTAATACATTCCAAGGTTTCTCTGTCATCTGAATACTTGCTCTCATTTTTATTTTTATCACCCTGGGCTTTGTTTCTCCGGCCCTGTGCTCCAGAGATGTCTGGCAGAAACCCACTTAGGCAACATTTAGGGGAGATTCTGTACAGCCTCTCTTATCTCCGAGCCCTGCAGGCATTGGTGAGAAAGTTCTCCCCCACCAGGGCGCTGAAGACGCAGCCCGAAACCACAGCCTTTGGACTGCACTGGGGGCCCTGAAGAGTAGTTTCGAGGGCGAGTGACCTCTCACCTCCACCTGAGAAGCTGCTGTGCTCTGAGTGTATTGAAACCGCTCTGTCTTCTGCTTGGCTCTTACGGTTCCCTTCCCGACATTCATTTCTGAGAGACCCCCAAGAAGACAATTTCTCATCATTCTACGTGGCTGACATGTAAATCCTTCTAATTCAGGGGGAAGAAGACTGGAGATAATCCACAGACACTAGAGTTTCTTTCATCCACCCCCTCCGTAAGTTTATTGGCACATTTTAAGCAAACAATACAGTTCCATTCATCATTGGGATCTTGCCTTTACATGTTTCATCCACCCCCTCCGTAAGTTTATTGGCACATTTAAAGCAAACAATACAGTTCCATTCATCATTGGGATCTTGTACCTTTACATGATGTGTCTTGCTTCTTGTTTTTTCCCACACCCTGCCCTCCCTTTACCCCCTTCACCCTCCCCTATTTACAAAGACTTTGTTTCCATTTTTTCTTTCCCCTCCCCTTCCCACTTCCCCTTTAGCCATTTTCTTCCTATTTCACACTCTCAGTTATACCATTTGAACCTATTTACACTTTCAGTGTTTCACACCAGAGAAGCTATTTGTTTTGTTTTGTTTTGTTTATATCGGGAATCAAACTCGACCTTGTGAGGCAGGCACTGGAACCACTGAGCTAAAACCCTGGCCCAGTTCGTTATTTATTCAAGTGTGTCCTATGACACTGGAATTTCTAATGAGAAGGCTTTGTAAGGCAAAGGGCCATTTCTTCATATCCTGAGTCTGTCTTTGACTTCCCCCTCCTGTTATTCTCCCTGGCCACCCATGAGTACCACCTTCATGTTTCAAGGCTCAACCAAGATGCCATGTGTCCAGGGATGAACAATTCAAGTCCGTTTTCCCTCCCTTACTAGCAAAATATGCCCCAGCCTTTTTTTTTGCAGGTTGATACAACCATCTCACTCTTATTTTTGTCCATGAGATGCAAGTGGTGTCATTGAGCAGGACTTCCAGAAATACTCCTTAAAGACTACAAGCATGATAGGTATTTTTTGGTTTTGTTTTGTCGTCTTCCTGCTGCTTGGAATGCAGATGAGATTGAAGGAACAAAGTCAACACCTTGGAGCATGAGGTGATTTCGCAGATACAACCCCTGTCCGTGAGGGCAGCAGAGGGAATTGGTAAGGGAAGCCAGGTGCTCTGATGACTTTGTGCATCCGCTGGATAGGTGAGGATCAGACCCCTTTCATGTGGAAGGATTGATTTTCTTGTGTGTGAACCACCCTTGGCTTGAGTCTTCTACCATACGCAGCAGATACTGCACACACCTCTTACCTTTCTTTTATGGTACTTTCCCTAATATCTAAGTGACTGTGTCCTCCTGTAAACTTACAGGGACCCGGAAAGGACCTTTAGGAGCACATAATCTACTCTCCCTTTGACAAAAGAGGACAAAGTCCAGAGGGACGTGTGTTACCTGATGCGGACACAGTAAGGGACCGTCATGGGGGAGCAGCATGTAAGCCCCCAAATGCAATCAACCATTACCCCTTTTAACCACAGAATGTTTCAGCAGACCTGTCACGAGACCCTGTTAAAATCACAGAAGCAAAATGTTTGTGTACATGAAATTAGAAATCGTTTCCAAGAGGACCCCTAAATTAGCCCTCTGGCATCACATGATTTTAGTCAAATTAAAATCACTAATTTTGGAGGTCATACAGCTGGGCAGTGCATTCAGTGTTCCCCACCAGCTGTGCTGTGGATAGCACCTCGGATGTGTGGCTCTGATAACAGCTGCCTAGGTTGCTTCCCTGGAACCTGAGGCTGCTTTTTCTGAGAACAGTAGCCCTTCCCTTGAGCCCTACGGGGATCTGATAGGTGACCAAGCTGGGATAAAAGGCTCAGCACTGCCGTCTTTGTATTCTATCTGTCCCCTTCTCTGTCCTGTGGCTTGGGTCAGATTCTTCCCAGCTCTGCATGTTGATCATTTACAAATGCTTAGTCTAAGACCATAATGCAGGGTTTGTTTAGCCCATTGCCCGTGTGAGCTGGTCTATATTTTCTTGTCTGTCTTTCTCTTTTTCTGCTCCCACCCTTGTGCTTCTTCAGAAGCCACAAAAGCCTGAGCACTTGAAATCCTTTGACTCTATCTCAGGGCCCAGACTCCACAGGCTGAGATGTTTTACTCAGGATGATACTGGAAAATTCAACAGCTTCTAGGACAAGTTGTCCATGACCACCTGGTGGTCCAAATCCATCACAAGAAGAAACATCTTTTAGAACTGTGTCCCTGGCCAGCGGAAATTACTGGACTTTGGCCCATCCTAGCAAATCAGTAAAAACCCGCTGCTACCTTACTTCTCCAAGTAACTTGGTCACTCTCTGGACAGACTGGTGACTCCTTCCTGCTGCGGTCCCTCCCACTCAGGCCCCCCGCCCATATCTTTGCTGTGTAGAAGCACATGTGTTTGAAATATTTGGTCCATTTTTGTTGCTACCGTCTCTGGGTCAAAAGATCCGATCATCCAGTATGAAGGCTGCAGTACAATTGCATCTGATCCTTGCACTTAGCAAGAGGGTCTTTCTTTATACGTAAGTGAGAAAATAATTGTCTGGACCTAGGATTTTATTGTTGCACCTACTTCTGTTATCCCTTATCACCATTTGGAATTGCTTGGGGAAAGACTGAAATTGGAACCTACCATTGCTCTTTTCAAAGTGTTGTGTGAATACAGCCTGGAAAAACAGAGCATATATATCTCCCTGTAGATGTAGTTCAGTGCTTGGGACACACAGACACTGCCTGGACCTGGACCTGAAGGTCATTGTCCCGAAATGAGATTCTTTCCCACCAAGTTCTTCCGAGATTGGGTCCGTTCTTCAAATGCTTTGACACAAGCTCCCTTTAGCTTATTTATTCCGTGCTGTTCGGCACATTCTCACTCAGACAATTATAGCTTCACCTGAGCTCCCCAGTGCCCAGAGTCCTGCTGACTTGCTCAGGATACCTAGAACAGCAGTTGGCATGGAGTAAGGAACTAACGCAAAGCTCTTTAGCCAGTGAGCACAACAGACTGTGGAAACCACTGGGATCTGGGGCCCCCCCATTAAGTCACCTGGAAGAGAACAACACAGAGTTCCCAGTGTCACCATTATTAGGTGGAATCACTTTCTTTCTCGTCTCAGTTTTTGCCGTTAAATTGAGCTTGACAGGTCCAATTTCTGATTGTAGAACAAAAAAGAAGATTCCAGACAGAGATTTTTCTTTTACAAAGTCTGGTTTTCATTATTAGATTGTTCATTGCCTCCGTTCTTTATGGTTTTATGATTTTTCTGTCAGCCTCGGAGAGATGCGCGGATGTCCCTGCAGTCTGGAGAAGGGGCGTCCTTTCTCCTCAGTGAGCGCACAGAAGCTGCCCTGCTGGGTGTGACATGGGGGCGTCATGGCAGAAGGACTCGAGCGCGGTCCTGTGTGGTGTGGACGTGTGTGTGGATGCTCACGAGAGTCACTAATGGGTTCTCTTTTGACTTCAGGTCAAACTACACTTGGAAATGTAATTTGAACAAACCTCTCGCTCTATGCCCTGGCGTCTGTCCTGTCTGAATGATTTGTTTCTCTTCTCTGGGGAATGTCTTTCTGGTCACAGAGAACCCTGCCCCCAAGCGTCTGTCTCCTCCTCTGTGTCTCCCTGTGAGATCGCTGCCCCTGCCCTCTGTCTGAGCAACGACATTTTCCCACCGGCTCCAGCCCCAGTTCTGTGCTTCGCCACGACTCAGAACCCTCATTTCTTCTTGGCAGCTGCACTGTTGAGAAGCCAGCTCTGCAGAGCCGGGGTGTGAAGCTGCTTCCTCGCCTGGCTTCCTGTGTATGGTGGGTGGAGGCACAATGCAGACAGCAGGCCAGGAGGGACAGAATCCTGGGACCATCTCCACACCACACAGCGCCCACTTGCGTGTCCTTTCTTCTCCACGCACATCTGTTCTTGTTCATTTCTGCTCTGGAAAATTGTCTGTCAGTAATGAAAACATGAATTCTTCATTTACAACTTTAGTTGCATGGATCATGGGCCAGGGCAAAAGCCTAGGATTTTTGTAGAGAGACTTGGCTGTTCTATGGGCTGTATGACCTAGGGTAAGGAGCCGGCTGGATTTAACAGGCTCTCTTGTTCTCATTTATATAAAAGAGATTCATAACTGATCTTAGCTCTGGAGAATAGAATTGTAGTAATAAACTCAGGCTGTCATAACAAAATACCACAGCCTGAGTGGCCTCTAAAGGACGGCCTTTGGTGTATCAGTTCTGGAGGCTGAAGGCAGGATGTCGGTAAACTGACCGAGGAGAGCTCTGTTCCCAGCTTACACATGGCCACAGTGCACATCTCTCACAGAGAGAGAGGGGGGGGGAGAGAGCGAGGAAGAGGAAGGGGGGATCTTCTTATAAAGACAAGATACCTATTGGATTAGGATCCCACTCTTATCACCTCATTTATCCTTAATGACTTCCTTAAAGCCTTAGATCCAAAGCAGTAATGTTAGGGGTTAGGGCTTCCTGAGGGAGGGGGACACACAATTCAGTACACAGCAAGGCTTACATGTGCTGTATGATTTACAGTGCATTTCCACTAGGCCCAACGGGGAGAAGGGAGAGGTACTAAGAGAACTGGGTGGTCCCAAACCCCACCTCTTAGTGAGTGGCTGCAGTCTGAGGGCCTGGGAAAGCCTTTGAAGTCTGCATCTGTCATTGCTCTGGCCATGATCAGGGTCACAGCTGAACAGAGAACTACAAGAAGAACTTGCTGAAGCCAGGTATGGTTGTACACGCCAGTTTGGGATGCCAAGGCTGGAGGATTATAAATTTAAGGCCCGCTAAGGCGATTTAGTGAGACCCCGATTCAAAATAAAAAATAAAATAGGCTGAGAGTGTAGCTCAGTGTTAGAACCCTTGCCTAGCATGCTTGAGGCCTTGGATTCATTTTCAGTAAGTGGCCTGAGTAGCTTGCGTCAGAAGGCTGGGGAGACTGGAAGTCAGCAAACCATGCCCTGTGTGTTCTTTTCTGTTGCTAACAGCACGCTATTAGATAAGCTAATTTGGGATCATGATTCTGGAGGCCCAGAGCGGAGGGGCACCTTGTGCAATGGCCTTCTGCCTGGCAGAATCTGGAATTGGGGCAGGACGGGTGCGCGTGTGTGCTTGTTTGTTTCTTCTCTTCTCCATCCTTCTTCTTCCAAGGCCTCTCGCGTTCAGTCGTGGAGCTCCACTGTGATGAGCTTTTCAAGCCCAGCCCCCCACTGAAGGCCACACTAAGCACCTGCATAGGGTCACGTTTCCACCCTCCCGGGACCTCACAAGGGCAGTCAGATTTCAACGGGACTTTGGCGGGCCGTACTCAGTCCACGGCCCCGGGTGAGGTGGGTTTTGCCGGCCACGGCTATAGCTTTTTGGGCCCAAATCTCCTTGGAGTATTCGGTCTGCTTCTGAGAAAAGAGCACAAATGCACAAGGGTGCACAGTTTCAGGGGCCTCATTACGTTAGCTTCTGAGCTTCTGTCCATAGCCCGGAGGAAAAGGTTTGCAGGGAGGAACCAGGATCACGGAGCTGGTGAGGGGTTCGTCGCTCTCTTCGTAGATGAGATGAAGAGCAGGGCTCTTCAAAGGGAGGGCAGAGCACTTTTCTTTTTAAATCTCAAGCTCTAATTTCTGTCTTCATGTGTTCTCTGTAATATTCAAAACACATTGGCATTCTCGTACATGTAAATTTCTTACCAAAGAAATATCCATGTACTCACGAGGCTTTTTGTTTTTTCCCTGATGGGGACTCACTGTGAAAATGTCTAGAGACGGGTAAGTGAGGCGACCCATGGACACTGGTTGGAGAGTTTTCTCTTCTCCCTTCCCCTTCCTCTGAGTGTCGGTCCTTTGGTGGGCCGGAGCCCTTTCCAGGCCTCCCATCAGCCCACCAGAGGGAGCACTACCTCAGAAGGCACAAAGCTTTCTACCTTGGAGTCATTTAAGGGTACCTGTCAATGTCAGGGTCACGTGTCCTTTAATTTCATGATGCCTCAGGACCTTGGGGAATTCTTTTTCCAACAGTGGAGTTAAGAGAGAAGAGATCCTTCTGGGGCACAGCTGAATTTACCTAAGGCAACGTTATGTATATCTGGGTAGTTAGCTGTAGTCAGGGAATTCTTCTCTTTTCTGCTTTTCCGTGATGTTCAAGTAAGGCTCAATTATAATCTTATGGCTTGAAGGTCATTATTAATCACAAAAGTGAGTAACTGAGGGATTCTAATGCTGTGCCTGAAATGACCCCACACTTACGCCACCCTCCCCAAACAGGGTCAGTAGGCTAAGCAAAGTAATCCCATTATCCTGGGTTGGGTTTCGGTCTCTCTCTGTCCCCGTCTGTGCCCCTGTCCCCCCAACATGGGTGTGCATGTGCAGGTGTGCATGCATGAGTGTGTTATTCTTTTGCTTTCATGTACAGGTGAGTGTGATCATGACCAGAATCTACTTTTACATGTGACATCAGCAGAGATGCGTACGCACCTCATGTGAGAGGGCTGGAGACCAAGAAGTAGGACTTCTAGCCTGGAAGATGGACCGGTTCTGGGGAGTTTGGTTAATTAGGAATATTAAGAAGAACTGTTGGAATTGCAGAACTGTTAGAATGAGTGAAACCTCAGGTAAGTGGCAATGCTCAAAATAACGAACAACTCTCGTTAGCCAGCAACACCCAGACTAAATGAGACTCGAGGTTCAGCCCAAGGATCCCGGTTTTGCAGAGCCGGGGAGGACCCATCGGCTGTGTTCTGCTGGTACCTGGTCGTCGTATTCTCCTGCCGCCAGCGTCTCAGAGGTGCTGGCCCACACCCCTTTCCCGTGGCCTCAAATCCAGCAGCTGGGCGAGGAACCAGCCCCGCTTCCTGTTGTTGCCTCACTTGATCGCGGCCTCCAGCTCAGGTGCCTTAGTCTTCCCGGTGCTCCGGTTGGGAGCAGCACCTGAGAAGTCCTTGTTTTCTCCCAACATGCTGCTTGATTCCGGGCTAAGGAAGAACAGTTGACTCTCGGCTTCCTGACCGGATATGGTTTGGCTCCAAAATTTTAACCCAAATGGGAGATTTAGAAACTTTCTATTTAAACTTTATTCTCAGTTTTTTTTTTTAAAGTAAGGAAGCCAAAAACTAGGCAAATAAAAGCATGTGTAAAGTAGGGTGAATGAAATATGTGTGCGTAGCGCCAGTCGGGATGGTGCTTGTACTTGCTGACCGTTTGTCTTTGAACTTCCTGGGATTCAGATCTAAAAACAGCGAAGAAGAAGCGGGGATAAGAAAACGAAATGGTATTGTTTTTGTAAGGTCTCCCTCTTCAATTAGTGGTTTTATAGATTTTTTTCTTAATTTCTGAGGATTTGAAATTATAGGAATAATGCAATAGCATCGGGTAGTATAGGCTTTGCAGGTGGGCAGGAAATCTCTAAACCAGCACAGGTCAGAGAGCTACCAGTGTGTCAAGGGTGGTGTTATGGCTTGGGTCTAGATGCCCCCCAAGGCCCCCAATGCGGTCATAGGCTTGATCTAGCTTGTGTAAAGCTGGGGTTGACTCAGGATGCAATGCTAGGCTCAAGGGCGCTAGGATTTAGGGTGTGAGTGCTGCCCGCCCTGAGTAGTCTGAATAAGATAACAGGGGCTGGAGACGCTGTTAACTCTTGTTACCTTTGCTGCCTCCTGTGAACCTTGCTGTTTCTCCTCTGTGATGCTTGTCTGCCATCCCAGCCTCAGAACCAGCCGATTAGGGACTGAAGCCTCTGCGAATTGTGAGCCAAATAAACCTCTTCCCCTCTCACTTTGGGTGTTGAGTATTTTGTCTCAGCAGTGAGAGAAAAGTAAGCGGCACAGGTGGAGATGGAGAAGGTAAAAGAGAGGGAGGGGGGGAAGAGGAGAGAGGGAGAGAGAAGCAATTCATCGCTCTTGTCCTAAGAACCGGGGGTGATTGTCCAGGGTCTGAATACTCTGACCTAGAAATGTCCTGGAGAGAGAATAATTATGGTAACCCTAGCACTGCAGCTCTGTTTAGAGAATATGACTGTCCTCTAGCTGTTCCACTCTTTACTCTCCACTTTTAAAAGTAAAAGCTCCACTTAGATCTATCCTGGTGACATTCCAGGGCCGGCTTCAATCTGCGTGGCAATGGGTCCTCACACTTCCTTGTATGAAAGATAAATTTGGGAACCCCCGCCTCCCCTCCAGGACAGACCGGTGGTCTCACAGCTTCGCGGCAGGCAGGAAGGAGGGCTCTGACGGTGTTATCAGTCCGCTTCCGCCTCTCCAACCTGGAGCCCACTCTGTTCCTCAGGGAGCAGGGCCACTGAAGTGCTCATGAGCGGGAGTCGGTGGCTGCCCACTCAAGGACGCTATCAGACCAATCACGGTGGGATAGCTGGCCCCAGAGGCCAGCCTCTGCCTCCCCGGGCCTCCCGCCCCCTTGGGTCGCTGACTTAGTCGTACTGTTGGGGCCCTCGACTTCCTTGTATGGCCAGAGAAGAGAAAGCTGGAAAGTGGCGCTGGGCAGACAACCTGACCCCTGGGACTCCTCCGGTATCTGGGCTGCTTTGGGCAGATTCCAAAGAGCAGGCCAGCCTGGGAGGAAGAGAAAGAGCACTTAAAATAGCCCTGGGCTGCTTTCCTTGGGCTGCAGAAGTGGAGGCTCCGCAGCAAGCTGGGTGGGGCCTGGGCTTGTTAGCGTGGGCTGTCCCACCCTCACACCCCAGGCGTGGACTGCAACACCCAGGCGGCGGGTGACCACCAAATTGTTTTGCTTAAGGCAACGAAATAGAAAATACCCAGCTCTTGCTCTGTGGAACTTATTTTAGCTATGTTGAGTCTCAAGTAAAATTTATTTCTTTGCGTGATTTATGTTTTGAAAGAAATTTAGCTCGATTGAATTATAATGTTACAAAAGTGTTAAACGAAGGCTGGCGGGGAAGTCCAGTGGTGGAGTACAGCACTTGCCTAGCATGGCCACGCCTCTGTATTAATTTCCGGTACTAAAACAAAAGAAAGTTTTAAATGATGTCAGTTTCAAACGACATTTTCCTCCATCTCTCTCTCTCTCTGATTTCCCTTTCTCTCCCACCCTCCCTCCCTTTTGGCTCCAGTTAGGATGCCCCATATCACTGCTTCAAGACTGGGACCAGGTTGCAGAGGGCCCATCTCATGCGACAAACAGCAGGACAGACGGAGCAGTGTTCACGAGGGAAGATGCCGGATTCCTCTTCCAGGCCTTCCAGACGCACTGCGCTGCACAACCACAGCAGGTCTCGGGATCTGAAAAGACAGGCAGGGGTCTGTTCTTTGCTCATTGTGCAATCAGGGCCCCAGCATGCACGCCTGCCTGCAGTATGGAATAGTTTTCAGCAATGCCAACTGACCTGTGTGCACATCTCCACTTTAAAGAAATGGTGCTAAGAATCAGACCCAGGGGCTTGAGGATCCGAAGCATGTGCCATACCACCGAGCTGTGCTCCTAACCCCTCCGTTTTTATTATATGGGAACATGCCAGGCTCTTCTTCGGCTTTCCTAGCAAGCTAGGTAAATTTGGAATTTGGAAAATATGTACAGAGTCAGAAAGCAATTTCAAAGAAATAAGTTTTTTTTGTTGCTGTTGTGTTTTGGAGACAGGGTCTCACTATGCAGTTGAGACTGATCTGGAACTCATTATGTAGCCCAGGCTGGTCTCAAACTCACAGCGATCCTCCTGCCTCAGCCTCCCCAGTGCTGGGATTACAGGCGTGCGCCACCACGCCCAGCTACAGTTTTTGTGAGTGTTCACATAAAATTTTTTGGTACCAGGGATCGAACTTGGGACCTTGTGCTTGTGAAGCAGCCGGCCGAACCACTGAACTAGATCCCCGGGTCTTATGTAACTTTTATATGAGTTTATGGGAACCTTCAGAATCTCTGTACCTGCCGCACGGGATGCCTCCAGTCCTTCTGAGAAGAACTAAACGTGGGGCAAATGTGATGAGCTCTGCACTCTGGAAAGACAACTGCTGCTGGCACTGCCAAGGAGTCCAGTCCAGCCACATGGAGATGACCGCGGGGATTCCCAAAAGACTGAAGATAGAAATTCTGTTCGATCCAGTTGCATTTCTCCTGGGTGTTTTCCTGAAGAAGTTAAGGTCCTCGTGTCACCAGGCTAGATCTGAGAGGCCTTCAGATTAGGACCCCCTCCCAGCTTTTGTAGAGTAGATTTGCAGGTTTGCCGACTCACACTGAAGAAAAAGAATTTTCAGGACACGTCAGTAAGGCACGAGAAGACATAGGATGCACTCAAGAGAAAAAAATGTGACCCATTATGAGTCGGAGCTGGGTATACTTAAGAGGGCTTGGGGCTGTCTCCAAGATGGGTGATTTAGCTGGGTGAGGTGGCTCGCACCTGTAATCCCAACACTGAGGAGGCTGAGGCAGGAGGATCACCATGAGTACATGGCCAGACTGGACTATATAGTGAGGCCTTGTCACACAAAGAAGATGGGCCATCTAGGATGTGTGTTCTTACCGTCTGTCAGGTTACCCATCTGGCAGGTTATGTAAGAATGTGAGTTAACTACTTGTGTTTGAACCTGAGGTCCGCTGCCCACTAACTTGTTTCCTCAAGGGTGGAGGAAGCACGACTTACAGGTGAAAAGGATATGTCCAGTGCCCAGTGTACAGGCTTATTGTGTCTGTAAGACCTTCAGGAACTTTTTGGAATGAGTTTTTGGTAGAGAAAAAGGCTTGAGTAACTTTTGTGTCTTGATGCTGCAGTTAAGTACAATTTTAAAATCTCAATTTCTTGTGTCCTTTCTGCCTAGTTTTTATTTCTTCTATCCACCTCGATCATACTATAGTGATACTTGCATACTCTTGTTTATAGAAGCACAATTTAGAGAAGCCAAACTATGGAAACAGCCTAGATGCCCACCAACAGATGCACAGATTAAGGAAATGTGACCCCCATCCACAACGGAGCACTTCTCAGCCATAAAGAAAGGTGAATTCCAGTCATTTGTAGAAAAATGCATGGATCTTGAGACCATTATGTTAAGCAAAATAAATCAGACACACAAGTTTATTCATTTTTTTAATTTTTATTTTTTTTTCCTCATTGAGTGTATTGGTACAATCTAGGTATACAGGACAGTTACATTCATCATTGGGATCCTGTACCTTTACATGACGGGTCTTGGTTCTCATTTTTTCCCCTTGTTCCTGCCCTCCCTTCACCCCTCCTCCTCACTTACAAATACTTTATTTCCATTTTTTCATTTTCTATTTTTTTCTCTTATTACCTTTCCCCTACCCTTCCCACCTTCCCTACACCTTTAGCCCTTTTCTTCCTATTTTATATTGTTAATTACCTCATTAAGATCTTGTGTACTATTATAGTTTGTTCACACCAGAGAAACTATTCTATATTTACACATGTGTGACTTATTTATTTCACTTAGGAGTATATCCTTAAATGTATCCATTTTCCTATGAATGAGTCTAATTTCTCATTCTTTATGGTTGAGTAGTACTCCATTTTATAGAAAAACCACATCTTTATCCACTTTCCAACTGATGGGCAAATGGGCTGTTTCCAAGTTTTAGCTATTACAAACTGTGCCGCTATAAACATAGGAGCGCATATATCACTGTGGTATGATTCTTTTAATTCTTTTGTAAAGATACCCAGCAGAGGGATGGCTGGGTCAAATGCAACCTCTAGTCCCAGCTCTTTGAGGTATCTCCATATTGATTTCCATAGTTGTTGCACCAGTCTGCACTCTCACCAACAATGGAGAAGGGTTCCTTTCTCCCCACAACCCCGTAAACATTTGTTATTGTGTGATTTCTTGATATCAGCCATTCTTTATGGGGTGAGGTGAAATCTCAGTGTTGTTTTCATCTGCATCTCTCGAATGACCAGTGATGTGGAACATTTTTTCATATATTTACTTGCTGCTTTTACTTCTTTGTCTGAGAAATGTCTGTTCATTTCAGATGCCCATTTTTGAATCGGGTCTTTATATTTGGGGGGACTGATTGTTTTGAGTTCTTTATATATTCTAGATAATAGTGCTTTGTCTGAGCAGCAGCTGGTAAAAAAATTTTCCCCACATTGTAGGTTGTCTCTTACTTCTGTTGATGGTTTCTTTTGCAGTGCAGAAGCTTTTTAATAAGATGAGATCCTAGTTGTTGATTCTGCTTGTTCCCATGCTACTGAGAATTTGTTCATAAAGTCTTTTCCTATGCCAATGTCTTCCAGAGTTCTGCCTAACTTATCTTCCAGCAAGTTCAGTGTTTCTGTTTTAATATTTAGATCTTTCATCCACTTGGATTTTAATTTAGTGCACGGGAGAGATAAGGGTCTAGTTTTAATCTTTGGCAGGTTGAGATCCAGATTTTCCAACACCATTTATTAAAGAGGCTGTCTTTCCTCCAGTGGGGATGGTCGGCTCCTTTGTCAAAGATGACGTACAGATACACAAGTTTAAACATCACAGCGTTTCTCTCTTTTTTTAAAAATTGGTACCAGGGATAAACTCAGGATCTTGTGCTTGCGAGGCAGACAGCAGAACCACTGAGCTAAATCCCTGGCCCGTGGGTTTCTCTTATTAGAGAAAACCAAGACATGAATAAAGAGTAAAATAAAGGAAAGATGGTAGGAAGCAGAGAGATAGAGGGGAGAGTAGAGAGGTGGGAAATCCAATGCTCCAGATACCGTCTATAGTATGTGCCAGTTCCCTAAAACAATTGACTTATGGGCCAAAAAATATGTCAATTGAAAAAAATTAGGTGTATATGTGCATAATATAACATTAAATTCTTTGTTAGATTTAGTTCGATATTTGTCTTTTTCTTTCTCCGGTACTGGGGATCAAACTGATCACTTTGAGCTTGCCAGGCAGGTGCGGTGCCACTGAGCTATAATCCTGGCCCATCTCAGTATTAAAGTCCACTCTTAAAAATTTGTTTCCAGCTCTCCTTACTGTCTTGTAAGCTCTTGCTACAAAGGGTGTGGTCTGCATCTGGCACGGACTGGTTTGAGTCCTGCAGAATCTAAGCCCTGCCCCCAGGCTCTGTTCAGACTGCACTGAAACCTGATTCTCTGGGTGATTGCTATGCGGAGTAAAATTTGAGAAGCACTTGAATCACATCTGTGTTACAGATCAAAGCTTTTTAAAGAAGACTAATCTCTAGATAATTGTAACCATTGACAGCCGTTTACCTTGTATTAGCTCCTATTTGACACATCTAACATTTGTGTTCTCTCTTGTTACCACACGATGGCGCCAGAACCCTACTAAATGTATAACGGGCCTGGAAGTGTAGCCGTTCTCCATGGTCACGCTGGTTCCCTAAAGAGATTAGAAGGAAGTAAATGATTCCCTTAAAGCATGGGGATGTTTTTCCTAGGAAGTACCTTTTCCACACTGTTTACGCGTCACTATGAGGTAATGTGTGTTTTTATCTGTTTCGATGCAATGTACATTCTCTTATGTAGTAAGGACTTCAAATAAATCGTAACTAATTTACAAGAATTTTCCCCCCTTAGAATGCCAAGAATTATGAAGCCATCTCTAAAAATCAGTATTTTAAAGCATCTATCTTAAAGTTTTAAAAATATTATTGTTTATACTTGAGACCCAAAGAAGACAGAAAAAACTGATGATTTTTTCTTTTATTTGCTCTTTTATAAGTATTCTTTTTTTAAAACAGGCTTACAGCTTCATTGAAGTATAACTGACACACATAAGCCTCACATATTTACAGCTTATGAGTTGAGGAGTTCCAATCTAGGCATGCATCAGTGAAACACAAGAACCGAGCCCGTTACCCCACAAAGTTTCTCTGTGCCTCTTCTCCTTCACCTCCCTGCCAGAAAGATTGGTTTGCTTTCATGATAGATGTGTCTGCATTTTCTAGAATGGTTTGAAGTGGAGGAATATACTGTGGGCTCTTTTTTTGGACAGCTTTTCTCATTCTGCCCCAGAATTTAGAGAGCCAACCACCCAGCATGTATCAGGAGTCCAGCCCTTGTTTGGCTGACCTATCTCTTGCCGTACGGAGAGATTATCATTTGTTTGCCTATGGGTTGATTGGCCACTGGCTGTTTCCAGACACTGTAGTTGTGGAAGTAAAAGTACAGTGAATATTAGTGTAGCAGTCTTTGTGTAAGAATGTTCTGTTATTCCTTTGGGGGAAATATCTAGACAGGGAATGGTAGAGCTATATTGAATGTACATGTTTAATTTTTAGAAGAATGGCCAGACTGATTTCCAAAATGGTTGTACCAGTATTAGGGTCTCAGTTATTCTACGTACTCAACAACATTTGGTAGGGGCAGTTTTTAGAATTTTAGTGTGTGAATAGTGTTATCTCATATCCGTTATTTATTTTTTGGTATTGGGGATTGAATTTGGGACCCTGCGCTTTCAAGGCAGGTGGTGGCATGACTGAGCTAAATCCACAGCCCTATTTAAAGAAATTTATTGTTTGTAGCACATAGTGACTACATTCACCGCGAAGAGTTGTCATATGTACAAGACATTTAAAAATTCGTTTTTTAACCTCCCGCACCCCTCCCTTCATCTCTTGGACCCCCCGTATATATTTTATACACGTTTGTAGTGCAT